AAAAAAAAAAAATAACCTATTGATCATTAGTTCCTAAATTGTTCTTTGAATTTGTTTACTTCATCATGTTTTTAGAGAAACCCTGTGTCTATCAATTTAGCTTAAGAGTGGTAGCTTTGAGGTTAGTAAACTATGAATTTAGCAGAACATTTCATCATTAAGATCCTCTTTCTCGGTGTGGTTGAAATCAAGTTATTTATTTATTTTTAGAGATGGTTTTTTTTTTGAGACACAGTCTTGCTCTGTCACCTGGGCTAGAGTACCATGCCGTCAGCCTAGCTCACAGCAACCTCAAACTCCTGGGCTCTAGAGACCCTCTTGCCTCAGTCTCCGGAGTAGCCGCGACTACAGGTGCGCACCACTATGCCCAGCTAATTTTTTCTCTTTTTAGTTGTCCAGCTAATTTCTATTTTTAGTGGAGACGGGGTCTCACTCTTGCTGAGACTGGTCTCGAACTCCTGAACTTCAGGTGATCCTCCTGCCTCGGCTTCCCAGAGTGCTAGGATTGCAGGTGTGAGCCCCTCGCCTGGCCATAGAGATGAGTCTTGCTGCGTCCCCTGGGCTGGAGTGCAGTGGCCCAGTCACAGCTCACCACAACCTCGAACTCCTGGGCTCAATGATCCTCCTGCCTCAGCCTCACGTGTAGCTGGGACTGTAGGCGCCACCACTGTGCCTGGCTAATGAAAAAAAAATTTTTTTTTGTACAGACAGTATCTCGCCGTGTTGCTCAGGCTGGTCTTGAACTTCTGGCCTCAAGTGATCCTCCCGCCTTAGTGTCCCAGAGTGCTGGGATTACAGGGGATAGCGGCTGCGTCTGGCCGAAGTCTAGTTTTTTATCATACGTTTCTTCACAGAGATTTTCTCACTCCTTTTCTCTCCTTTAATTAACAGAGAAGTACAGCAGTTCCATCCTGATGTCAGAAACTCCTCCGAGGTGAAATTTGCTGTTCAAGCTTTTGCTGCGTTGAACAGTAACAATTTTGTGAGATTTTTCAAACTGGTCCAATCGGCTTCTTATCTGAACGCTTGTCTGTTACACTGTTACTTTAATCAGGTGAGTAATGTAGCTGTGTTTGCAGAATTGAAGAAAGCAGGTTGTTACTTGTGATATTTCAGCGTGTCTGTATGCCAAGCGCCCTTCCAAGCAGGTCTCGGGCTAACTCCCGTGTGACCTTATGGCGCCCCTTTGGGTGTTGCCAGTGTCCCCTGTCTTATGTGCAGGGGTTGGCACCACTGACCACCACCAGAGGGGGCCGTGCAACAGAAAACACTGCTCCGTGGTTCAGATAAGGGAAATCTCTTTGGAACTATTTACTTTGAATTCAGCATTATCACATTGAATGAAAACAAAGAAACCAAAAAGCAAAAATCACCTAGCATGTGCACAAAATCCCTAACTTTTAAATTCTTAGTGTATTTAATCTGAAGTTTTGGATTGAGCTTGATGTTGTGAAATTCATTTCAGTAAACATCGAAGTATCTGCTCTTTGCTCTGTCTGGGCTGTGCGCTGGGTCACAAAGGCAGCAGGAAGATTAGTCTCTATATTTTTTTTTGAGACAGAGTCTCACTCTGTTGCCCGGGCTAGAGTGCCGTGGTGTCAGCCTCGCTCACAGCAACCTCAAACTCCTGGGCTCAAACGATCTGCCCGCCTCGGCCTCCCAGAGTGCTAGGATTACAGGCGTGAGCCACCGCGCCCAGCCCAGATTAGTCTCTCACCTGGGTTCTGCATGGCGGATAAACTCTCAGAATTTCCAGAGTTAGTACTTTAGATTTGGAGACGGTAACTCAGCAGCCCCCAGGCGCCTTCTGCTCTAGGCCCCCCCGGGGGCTGGCTCGGTAGAACATGGCCTGTACCATCTCCTGCCTTGCAAACTGCGCCCCTCACCCTACGGGGGGTTCAGGACCTGCCCGGCTAGTCGTTTCTTTGGCCACAAGGAAGTCCTCCTGTGAACAGTGACAAAACCCACAATCGTGTCCCAGGCAAAGCATTTTGCACATTTTCCCCTTGTTGTCAGGTCTGACAGTTGCCAACAGAACTGAAATTCTGGAACAGAGGAAAAGGTTTCTAACAACCTGCCACTTGGGGACCTCTGTGCAGTTGTTAAATAAAACTTATGGTTAAATTTTACAACGATAGTTTAATGTTACTGGAATGTTGACCATATTTAGTGACTTTCAACAAAAGAGAAACCCAAGTGTTTTTTTCTTTAGAAAACCAGCGTTTTCACTAGCAGTGACCCACATACATGGTCCTGTTATCTCAGACCTCATCTCCTGCTCCCACCTCGCTCAGCTCCGCCTGCAGGGATGCCCTCCCACCGTCCAGCCCTGCACATTCTTGCCTCGGGCTCTTGGCACGTGCTGTTCTTGCCGCTGTTCTCGCGCAGACCTACCCTCTCCCAGGCCTTGGCTTGGCTGCAGCCTTCTCTGCCCGGCTCTCTGCTCTCTGGCACTTACTCACCAGTAACTGTATTTCATGTGTGCATTTCCCGTGGCATTGGTTTCTGTCCTGGTGTGCCAGCTATGTGGGGCGGAGATTTTGTTTGTTTTGCTCACTGTTGTGCTCTCAGCATTGAGAACAGTCCAGGCTTGTGGCAAAAGGACGTTGGCACAAGGACTGGCAACGTGGTCACCCGGGGTCCCGGCGCTGACGTAGTTTTTGTTAGCATTTTCGTGTTTTTCCTTTGTCTTCCTTTTTTATGATACTTGTTATGATGTTAAACTACAATGTTTGTCCCCAAGTCATACTTAATTTGGTCTCCGTGATACCTTTGAGCACCTGCGTAGCTGTCTGAGTGGTTGCCACAGTTTACTTTCCGTGCCCTTGTTGATAGACTGTTTCCCAGTTTTTCTTATAAGTAACACCTTTGCAGCCCACCCTTTCCTGTGCGACTGTCTGCTTGGCGTGCGTTCCTGGGCATCTCTGGCTTGGGGTCTGTGTTGCCAAACTGCCTTCCCGAGGGCCCTGGCTCCAGCAGGAGCCCCAACTCCACACTGGCCCTTTCTGTGTGTGTGGGTGGCCGATGGCCTCGTCTAACCGGGTGTCTCTCTGGGACCGCAGTGACTTCACTTCTCCTTTCAGATCCGCAAGGACGCTCTCCGGGCGCTCAACTTCGCGTACACCGTGAGCACACAGCGATCCACCGTCTTTCCCCTGGACGGGGTGGTTCGCATGCTTCTGTTCAGAGACTGTGAAGAGGCCACAGACTTCCTCACCTGCCACGGTCTCACCGTCTCCGACGGGTGAGAGCTGAGGGCAGAGCTCAGGCCTCTCTCCCCTCCTTTTTTTCTCTTTGATTCTGACAAAGGGCTGTGAAGTGCCAGCTGCTTGCCCAGCCCTGGAGAAGGTGCGGGGCACGTGCTGCCTCCCTGGCACGCAGGTGGGCACCCTGTGGCTTGCCGTGGCCGGGCAGGTTCCCAAGGTCACACGCTGGTTGTCAGCAGGTCACGTTCAGGCCAAGTTCTTTGTGACTCCAAAATCAGTGCCTTTCATGAGTTACCAAAGAACCTAAAGATAAGGGTTAGGGCCTTCCTCATTCTGTCCCTGGAAGATGGCCTCTGCTAGCCGTGACTCGCCACCACCCACCTCCCATGGCCGGGCCGGTGGCACCAACAGGCCGGGCCAGGGTCCTCTCTGTTCTCTGCTGTCGGAGTGTCCTGAGACCACGACGGCATCACAGGCTTCTCCCAGAAAACGGCACCATAGCACAATGTCCCGTGCTGGGTTCCCCCACCCCGTAGCCTCACCTGCCTGCCATGCCTGCCTCCTGCCCCGAGTGCTGACCTCTGCAGACATGGCTGGGGATGAGCCAGGACAGGAGCTGTAGGTGTGTGTCGCTCCACGCGGGGCCAGGAGGTGCAATGGTCATAGTGAAACTCCAGGGCTGGTGACCGGAGCACTGGGCCCTGGCCTTGGCCGTCCCTCCTGGTTACATGTGGGCTGTGGGGTGTGGGAGTCCCTGCTTCCCCCGAGGGGCTTCCACTGCCGCGGCAGGGCACCGAGGGCTGAGCTGTCTCTGCTGACTCCTCTCTCTGGGCTCTTTGCGATGTGGGTAGCTGTGTTGAGCTGAACCGGTCTGCATTCCCGGAGCCAGAAGGACTGTCCAAGGCCAGGAAGTCGGTGTTTATTACCAGGAAGCTGGTGGTATCGATCGGGGAGATGGTGAACGGAGGGCCGTTGCCCCCAGTCCCTCGTCACACCCCCGTGTGCAGCTTCAACTCCCAGAACAAGTACATCGGGGAGAGCCTGGCCACAGAGCTGCCCATGGGCACGCAGAGACCTGGCCTGGACACGGCGGGTGAGTGTGGCGGTGCCAAGGCTGCCAGCGCGCGTCTTGTTTGGGGGCTGGGTGTGGCTCTCGCGCAGTGTTCAGTGTTTCTCACTGCATGGACGGAGCTCCGCGCTCCTGGCTCCGGACTTCAGGGTGCTTGTTCTTGACGCCGCATCCTCGGGAGGTGCCCCAGGGGGTCTCCTTGGGGAGTGCCGGCTGGTCCTCAGGGCCACCGTGGAGGCCCGTGGAGCGTCTGCAGCTGTTTTCCCCGGGTGTTTCCTTGCAGGTGTCGAGAGGGGAGAGGACTGCGGTGTGGAGCCGGGCGTGCTGCCGCCTCTCCCTGCCCCCGCACCCCCAGCTGCGCCTCTGCCTCCCGTCCCTGCACTGGCCCTGCCGGTGGTGCCAAGCCTCTTCCAGCCCTCCATGCAGCCTGAGCTGCTTCCTCCAAAGCCGGTGCCTGTGTACTCTGACGCGGTAGGGAACCTTCTAGAGCAGGGCTCTGGGAAGCCCATTGGCTCCACCCCTTGTGAGATGGGGCTGTGTGGCCTGGTCTCAGGGGAGGAGCCAGGCAGGGTCGGTGGGTGAGGGGACCTGCCCACGTCACTCAGCCTCAGGCGGTCAGGCTGGGGCGGACCCACCTGGCTAACTGCAGAGCCAGGGCAGCACTAGGGGCTTCCCTTCGCAGCACCGGCTGAGCCCTGCGTGTCTGGTCTAACCGACCTCACGCCTGCTCGTTCTGCGTGGCCGGTGGACAGGCCGACCAGCGGCTGTGGGGACATGGGCAGCATTGTGTGTGCCCGCAGCCGGGGGCAGCCTGGGGTCAAGCAGGGCCTATCCATAGTACGGTTGTGGGAGTTGCGGCTGCTTGGGGGAAGATGCTGAGCACTGAGGCTGCTTGGGGATCAGGGAATCCTTGGAGTGTGTGGACAGAATGGCCATAGAACTTGGGGACGTCCTCGTGGAAGGAGAAGGCTGGGCCAAGGGTGCTCAGGGCCATCTGCAGGGCTTGCCCCATGCGTCTGCGGGAGCAGCCCAGACCCCTGTGTTAGGGTCCTGAACTTCGTTCTGAGACGCCTCACTGGCCTGGCAGTGCCGCCCGCTGTCTGCCTGGGCGGATGCCCATTGACCCCGTGCTGGTCTCTCCCAGGACCTGGCTCAGGTGGTGGACGAGCTCATCCAGGAGGCCCTCCAGAGGGACTGTGAGGAGGTCGGCTCTGCGGGCGCCGCCTACGCAGCTGCGGCTCTGGGGTGAGTGATGCTGGGTGCTCAGCCCGCCCCCTGCACCCGTCCTCTCGTGAAGCTGCTCTCGTTCATCTCCTCGAGAGCCGGCTGCCCTTTGGTCCAGGCTTAGGACTCCCAGTGCCCCGCCTGGGCGTCCGCGCACCTCCAGGGCTGTGCTGGCCCCTTGAGTCCCGGCCTTCTGTTTCTTGTGGGCTTGCGATTTCCGTTTGTGATGCCTTTTGAGCAACATGCGGTTTATGAAAGCTTATAAGTGAAAAGCCTGTTTTTCTTTAA